GCATCATAAGAAAGTGAGAAAGGTCTGGCCACACAATGGGTGAGTTGAATGAGTGGCTGGTTTCATCACTTTATTTATGCATTTACTTATTCCTTCCTTGGAAGATGTGTGGCATCAGCCACCTATTGTTCTAGGTGCTCACAATACAGCAGTGAACACGACAGTAGGTTGGTCCTTCTCTCACTCAGTTTGGATGAGATGGAAAAGTTCTCACCAAAAGACCTTCTAGAGATTTCTCAGTGATTAAGAGCACTGGCTGCTCTTCCAGAAGACCTGGGTTCAATGCCCAGCACCTACATGGTAGTCACAACCATTAGTAACTCCATTTCTAAGGGATCAGATGACGTCTTCTGTCCTCCATGGGTACCAGGCACTCACATGGTACAGGGACATACATGGAGACAAAACACCAACACACACACACACACACACACACACACACACACACACAGAGGAGAGAGAGAGAGAGAGAGAGAGAGAGAGAGAGAGAGAGAATCGAGCAGCGTTTAACCAGGTGTGGCAGCACAAACTTTTAATCCTAGCACTCAGGAGGCTGAGGCAGACGGATTTTAGTGAGCTCAAGACCAACCAGGGCTACACAAGGTGAGTTCCTGTCTCAAAAAACAAGCAAGCGGCCACACTCAAACAAATTCATAGCAGAGATTCTTTCTTGATTGGTGAGGAAGGCTGTATGTGTTTATGAGATCTGCAGGGGGCTGTGGGAGAATCTAAGTAGAGTCATGTAGCTCAGGGGCGGAGGGTTGAGGAGATGCTTGTCTAGAGAGAAGATGTGCGGAGAAGGATCTAAGACAGAGAACGGGGAAGGCCTGAGAAGGTATGTGACTGTGGCCTGCACAGTACAGAGGCCTGAGAAGTAGGGTATGGCATAAAAGATAGCTGACATAGAAGATCACATTGTTGTTTTTAATACGAGATACACAAGTCAGGCCAGTCCATTGACACAGAAGTCAGACTGTGTGTGGCGGGGTGGGTGGTGGGTGTGGGGGAGGCTATGGAAAGAGGGGATGAGGGACTGATCTTTTAATAGGTTGGGGCTTGGGGTGGCGTTGATTAAGTGTGACAAAATACCTGGAATTAGATAGTAAAGTCGTACAGTATTGTAAATAAATTAAAAGACATTACAATCTAAAACATACAGTCAGTTTAAAATCTGGGTGTGGGTCCATGTGCCTAGACAGCAGATCCAGAACTCAAGACATCTTTGGATGTGTATAGGATTTTGAGGCTAGTCTGAGTTATGTGAGACTCTTTTGGAATATAAAACTAAAAAATTCTATCAGCTTTGTTATATGAACTTCATCTCGATTTAAATACAAGTAGGGGAGGGGAGTGCTGTTCTAGACTCACAGTGTGATCTCGTTCCCCCCTACTCACTAGCAGTGTGATGTCATTGTGTGACCTGTTACTCGTGCATAAAGAGAATCCTCAAACATGACCCTCCAACACAACCCATGGGAGTATGACGGAGTCAACTCAAGAGAGACCATCTCTAGTCCGTTAGCACAGATCATGGAGTCTAGATTGCTGGCAATTAGGGATTACGGCTGTTAACAAGCATGGGAGAGGTGACTCAGAACAAGCCGTGGTCTCCAGAAGTCTCTCTGTCCATACATCAAGAAAGGCACTTCACTGGGTTTTCCTATTCCATTCATGGGACTGAAATGGGGACATGTGAGGACCTGAAATCCATTGACTCTCCTCCCTCAGCCCATTCAGTGGGACAGGAAGTGGATCTGGTACGGTGGGGGTATTTTGCCTGAACCACTGGTCTTAGAAGTGAGGTCAATGTTCTCTGGGGCTACAGGGCTTGCCAAAGAGAAGTTCTGGAGGATGGTGGTGAAGAAAAGGAACAATTCATTGCGGGCAATGCCTTCTCCAAGACAGATGCGCTTTCCTGTGGGTACAAAGGAGAAGTCACGTTAGCTTCATGGCAGTATATAACCTTCATACTGTTTCATCCCTAAACCCAGACAACGGTGGCCATTGCAATGAAAAGTGTGAGTTTGCCCCTTAAACCTAAGAGACTATTAAAAACAACCCTTTAAACCTCAAAAAAAAAAAAAAAAAAAGGCATGTAAAGTATTCGGTGGATGGCTGGCATTCACTTGTGAGACTTGGGTTCCCAAAGTATCCATTGCCCCAGAGGAAGTTAGGACCACCTTGGAGTTGAGGATGGATAGGTGAGTGGGTGGGTGTGAACATTTACAACATAATATCTTTAGGATTTTTAATTCATCTCATGAGGACAATGGCAGCCAGCTCGTGAAGCTATTGTGAGCACAAAGTTAGTGTTTGTAAAGACTCTTAAACTGACACCTGACTGATATAAATAATTCTCTATGAACCTGACAGGGTGGCAGATGCCTATAATTCTAGCACGTGGGAAAGTTGACGGAGACAGATCATGACTTCATAACTGCCTAGACTGTGTAACAAGACCAACCCCAACCATCTTAAAAAACTAACAGGAAGAGAAAGAAGGGGAGGGAAAGGAAGAGGAAGGGGGAGGGGAGGAGGAGAAGGGGAAGGAAAGAAGAGAGGGTGAGAAGGGAGGAAGAGAAAGGGGGATGAACACAGCAGAGTGAGGAGAAATAAAAAAAAGAAGAAAGGAAGAAAGGCTCTTATCCGTGTAGTGAGTTTATGTGGGAGTGCGGAAGGTGTTTCTGGATCTCCCCTACCCTCTTTCTGGTCTCAGCCTGAGATCAATGAGCTTCAACAAGTTCCTATCTGAATAGTTCAGACAATTGAGAATGGGCAGGTAAGTGTGATAAGGAGTCTGTGGCACCCATCAAGCTCTCAGAGGAATAATGAGCCCTTGCTGGTTGGAACCTCAGATATGGAGCACCATAGAGCAATGGAAGCCTGAAAACCCATGTGCAGGTACCACAGCCTGCTCCTTACCTCAGTGATTCTTAATCTGCAACTCTCCTCCACTCAGGACCTCTAGGTGCAGGAAGGATTTCTCAACAACCCCTGTTCCTGTTGTTGGGACATTATGCTTGTGTGGGAGTATTTAGGAAGAGCGCCCCATCCCTTTGGGCATGTTCTTTCCATAATTTAGGTGACATGAGCTTAGAAATTTATGAAGTAGCTCTCTGAGATGGTTCTCCTAGAACCAGTTTTGTGACCCAGATTTTTCCAAAACTACTTAATGACTTACATCTTTCTCTCTCAATACGATGTCCCCAGGCCTGGAGCTGGCGATTTGGACACCTTCCATGGTTCTTTGGCTCTAATGCCTTTTGGCTTCTTTTATTTTTCTTGTGGGTCAGGGCAGTCAATATGTATCGATTTTACCTACCGGACATTATTTTTCTTTCCCTTTCCCCCTTTCTGCTTATTTTTGTCTAAACTCCCCATTATTTTTCTCTCTCTTCCCTGCCTCCCATCTCTCTCCCTCTTTTGCTTCTGTTCCCTTCTCTTCCTCTACATCCCCACATCTCTTCTCTCTCTCCCCACCTATCCCCTCTCTTCCCTTCTTTCTCCCTCTCCCCCTCTCCCTCTTAATGTTTACTAGTATACCTTGTCCTGGTCTCCCTGTGCCTCCCGCTATAATTTTGTCATTTCTCTATCGTCTACTTTCTGTCTCAAGCTCTATTTATTTCCATTCCTGCCTCCTTCTAAACGTACAACTGTGGAATGGAGACATTCACTTTTATCCAACTCATTGTTCCCACCCTGAATAAAGATTAAATATCAGAGAAAGCCAATACATTGGATATTTCAGGGTAGGGCTGAGCCCTGAGTCATTGAAGTCACTAAGACACTCAACTCTAGACAGGGTCTGGGGTTGTGGCTCAGTGTTAGAAGCCCTGTCTAGAATCTCTCAGTGAGGAGTTGGGGGCATGGCTCAGTGGTAAGACCCTGCCTAACATTTGCAAACCCTAGGTTCAATCATTACCACAGAATGAAAAGGTCTGAGGAGTTCTTTCTTGGACTATCCTTTATCTCTAGAAGATAAGGAATCTATCTAGATAGAGTTCTTCAGGGCTAGGTCTTGTTAAAATGAATTCAATTTGACACAAGGCTGCCCATTTACATAACAAAAAACCCTAACTTCATTAGTGGTGATTAGTGGAATCATTAGTGATAATACTGCAAACTGTACTGAGGTTATATTGCACTAAGAAGTAGCTATTCTGCTAGCAAATAACTGAATCACAGCCAAACATAGCAGCAAACCAATCCCAGGCCACCACCCACTACAGGGTGACCAAGTAAGAGTGGAGTGGAGCTGGCAAAAGTCAGGCTATATCCACATGCTCAGCTCCAAATGGCTCACCTCTGACCAACACTACTGTCTGCTGTAACTCTGAACTTTTTCTGGCTCAGGATCTTAACCATCATGAATGGGTTCTTTGTTCAAATAGATGGTTGTGATTTTTCATTTCTCTTGCAATTTAACAAGCAAAGGCGTATTTAATGCAATCAAGGACAAGCATGTCCTGGGGACATGTGTCATCTCCCCAGTGCTTACAGGTAAAGTCAATGCCTCCTCAGCTGTCAAGACACAACCCAGCTCATGGCAGTGTGCACAGATAATGTTGGTTGTTCTTGCTGTTGTTTCTTAAGAAAATGAATGTTCTCTGGTTTAGAGGGTTTTAAATACTTCTCCAAAAAGTTCTCCTGACCATGTTCTTTAGTTCAAGAATCCCCTCATGGGGTTGTAGCAAGGGGAATGGTATTGTTCAGGCAAGGCAGCTGGAAGAGACTCAGGAAACAGGGACCTTATTGTTGTTTGTGTCCCAGAGGTTGGGCCTGCCCTCTAGTGTCTGGGAAAGAAATCACAGTTCTGTCTCACCTGCAGAGAAAGGCATAAAAGCTTCAGTTTTCTTCAGTGCCCCATTGGCATCCAGGAAGTGCTCGGGATTGAAGGTGTGTGGTTGTTCAAAGTAGCGTGGGTCATGGAGAGCTGAACTCAGGATGGGGTACACCTCGGTGTTCTAGGAGAAGTTACAAGATACAAAGATGTTAAGAAACCCTGACTCCCATATGCAAAACAGTCAGTTCCTGAGAAACACAGAATGCTGGGAAGTCACAGACAGGATGCGGTTGGTGATTAGGAGCATAGAGTATGCTCATGGAGTAGTGATGAGGAATTGTAGCTGGTCTCACCTTGGGGAGCAGGTATCCTCGGAACATGGTGTCTTTGGTGACTCTGTGTGGTAGACCAATCGGGGCAAGATCAGAAAATCTCTGAATCTCGTGGATGACTGCCTCAGTGTATGGCATTTTGATGCGGTCATCAAGGGTTGGTAGTCGGTGTGAGCCAATCACCTGATCAATCTCCTTTTGGACTTTCTCTGCACAGGAAAAGGAGACAACAGATAGTGCTGTTTTCTGGGATCCAGTAACCATGGAACAGTTCAGAGCAAAGAGACTGCTGAGAAAGACACAGTGCCCTCTTGGGTGCACGCATCTGTGCTTCTCTCAAGGACCTGTCTCTCCAACCATGCTTAGAGCATGTTAGAGTCTCTTCTCAACAAGCTCCAGCTTTGTTTGTAAAAGAGAAAAGGAAAACCTCCATCAAAGGGCCATTTCAACTGTCAGTCTGGAGTGAGGGCTGCAGGGGAAATGGCAAGAATGTAATGAATGTTATCAATTGTATTCCTGCGTGCACAGGTACACACACACACACACACACACACACACCCCACACACTCCTTTACAGGGAGTTAAAAATCCAGGGGCTGGCTGGATGACTCAATGTTTAAGAGCACTGGCTGATTGCTGAGCACCCAATTAATTCCCAGCACCCAATTTCAGCTCACACTCTCTGTAATTCCAGGTCCATGTGAACTGACACCCTTTCATAGACATACATGCAGCCAAAACACCAATGCACATTGAATTAAAAGAAAATTTAACATCTAGGCTAATAATCTGATGCTATGTCATCAGAAATAAAAGGGAATTTAATTACTATACACATAGTTACATATAAAATATAAATATGTTGGCTGAGGAAATGGT